GGCCATGAGCCAAAAAAAAAAAAAAAAAAAAAAAAAAACGCAGTTTTGGGCGAGCAACACAGTATAAGCGACAATAGTAGCTCAACTGGCTCAAGTAACAAAAAAGAACATCTTTTTAAAATCTGCTGAACATCTGTTAGAATTATGAAAAAACTACGTAACTGGTGTATCGAAAGGGTGTGTTGACAAAAGTGGGCGAAGTGTTCAAAGGTATGAGAATTTAGACTATATAGAAAGGATTAAGCCAGAGGCACAGTGACAGGGTCGGTGAATCTAAAAAAGAAAATTAATCTACTGTTATATGAAGACATGTGGCATTATGGTGATGATAACGTGTATTTGCCTCCTTATGTTTTAAATTCTTGTAGTATGCAGTCCCATAAATTTAAAATGCGCTTTTTTTCAAGACACGCAGTCGCACGCACCAAAATGCATATGCGTAGTACCCATTCCGCACACATATTTGTTCACGAGCACTTACACCAAAATATACACTTACATTTAAAACATTAAGACATTTAGACTTTAAAACGCTGTCTTTGGTTGTCTAATACTGTTTGAACGGTAAAGAAAGGAAAGACTCCCGTTCTTCCTACCCCATACCAATATTAGGTCATTGAAGAAAAGGTGGTCTGTGTAATCATCCCCAAGATTTCCAGGTGAACGCGGTATGTGCAGTATGCTGGCATTTCCGAGGATTTGTGGGACGTTAATTGGGGTGAAGACCTGTTACTTCAAACTACTTTGACTATGCACTGCTTGAACCTCAGTGAAATATGGACATGTAGGAGGATGCGTGAGCTAGAATGAATCTTTATCGTTCATAGATTGCATACTGATTCAGATGATTCTACTTGTAAATGTCTTGCAATGGACACTTTTTGAATCTTTATGTTGTGTCTCATCACATACAGGGTAAAAACAGACTGAATGATACAATGGCGGATCCGAAGGGTACATACATGTACAGCGGACACGTGCCCCCCCCCCCCCACCCCCACCCCCCCGCGTTAGGTTTTGGGATACCCCTCTCTTCCACGTTTCCATCACAAAAACAAATTAGTAGAACGAGCGAAAAAAAGACGCAGCCAAGCAATTTTCCATTCCTATGTCCTACACTTGATAGCGTTCATATCGCTCCCTTGGCAGAAGCATTTACTATTTTGCACCCCCCCCCCCCCCAGACAAATCCTGTATCCACCAGTGATATACACAAATTTAAACAAAAAGTCCAACCTATAGATAAATAAAAACAAATAATATAAATACTCAAATGAAGCAAGATGTAATAAAATGAATCTGAGTCAAAGAAATATAAAATACCGCTTACGCCTAAACAGAATATGTGATAAGCTTTATCTTTAAAATTGATAAAAACTTGAAACGATTCTTCCTTATATCACCAAACACCTTCTTGATGTTATAGATCTACATGAATCTAATTAAAATATTTTGATTTTAGTACTTACCAATTGTAAGTCAATCAGTAAATTCATAAGTTTTCAAAAGTTTATATGGCTTAACATGACTGGCATTATAGTGAGTAATATACCTTCAGTTGCAGGCAGGGTTCCTGCTGAGCAGCAGCTCTACAAGGACTTGATGCAGGGCTATGAGAAGGCTGTCCGACCCGTGGTCAACTCTTCCCATACCGTCCACGTCTCTCTCAAACTGCAGATTATACAGATTGTTGATCTGGTGTGTAATTTTACTTTTTCTTATAGTCAATCAGCTCGTTCAGATGAGTATGAAAATTCCGCTGCTTGGGTACCTTTTGTAATTCTGCATTGGAATAGTGATATACTGTGATTCAGTAGAGTGTATTCGTTGCAAAACCACACACACACGCACAAAAAAAAAAAAAAAAAAAAAGAAAAAAAAAAAAAAACTGTATGGACGTAACCTCTGTGTCTTCTTATTTCATTACACATTTACCTGGTTTAGGACGAGAGACAACAGGTTTTAACAACAAAGGTTTCAATCGACCAGGTACGTTACTTATACAAGATCATTTTAAACTTAATTTTATTTCTGTTTGAAGTAGCTTTTAAAAGTAAAGTTAATATTTTAGACCTTTGTGATCATATTATACACAATCGTCACAACGAAATCGCACCCGCAATGCCTCTTTTATAAAAGAACTGTGATTTATTGTTAGATTGTGTCACAATAAATTAATAGAGTAAGATGAAGCAAACAAGCGGCCCAATGAGGTAATACAAATGGGCGGAGCTTCACATTGTTTTCTTCCAGTATTGGGTTGACGAGCACCTCAACTGGGACCCGGATGAATATAACGGCGTGAGGAAAATCCGAGTTTCGGCACAAGAAATATGGCTACCGGATACATTTATATATAACAAGTAAGATATGACTCTTTTCTGAACAGAAGAACGCAATTTTCTTGAATTAATTTTTTTGAAAAGACATGATAATAATAATAATCAAATAAGCTTTCAGACCAACACCTCCTTTACCTAAGAGGATAACTGTGAACTGCATTATATCACAATTTTGGTCCAGAATTAAGTTAAGACCATTGCTTTAAAAACCGGGTCCGATTGACTTAAACTATCTTCTCCTCCAGCTCTGTCTCATATTTAGCCCCAGATCTACACCTTGAAATGAACATCTATGTTTTACACCAACATCCTGTTTGTCTTCCAGCGCTGACCAGACCAGCGGCTTCATGAACGGGACTTTTGTCCAGGTGGACTCCAGTGGCCGAGTGTTCTGGCCAGTGCCCATGCAGTTGAAGAGCAGCTGTATGGTAAACAACAACAAAGAATCCAACAAAGTATTGCACCAATTTTTATTAACAGTAGGCGTACTCCTGTAACGTGACGCTGTCGTAACCTTTTTTTCCCCAAAAAATAGTCTTGATAATACAGCAGTGCCAAACGTTAGTAGACAATATGCAGTACACGGGGGACGTGGGTTGGGGGATGCGAGCTTAGTCTCCTTAAGAAATCTATCAGCTATTTATATACCCTCAACAAAGATACACATACTTCTTGTTTCCCAAAAAAACTTGCAATCTGACGCAACGGTTCTCAAGAGATTAGCTAATGAGCTAGAAGCAGTTCTTTAGCAGTGCAGTATGAGCAAAACAAGGGGAATGGGGAACTTAATGTAGAAAACGTCTTTCCTGTTATTTTTATATATATTCATACAAAAAAATCATCAATAGTTTATAAAACATAACAGTGCAAAGTGACCAGTCGGCCTGTCGGTTTACTGTCAAGTTGAATCTGAATACGTTAAAATAAGCATTTTCTTCCTGTTGAACACGATGAAGCATGTATCTTAACCCCGTTAAAAAGGTCAGACGCCTTTCAAAATTCATTTCCAGAACCTATGCATGAAGATTATATAGTTTATGCCAGAGCTTTATACTCCTGCTGCCTCTTCTTCTGTGTTTACTAACGGACGATCCCTGCATCGATAGATGGATTCAGAAATAAATATTATGCATGAAATTGTACTGTGTTGGTATCCAATTTCAGCGATACGTTTTCTGTTTAATATTGTGAAAGGAAATGCACATGTACGAACAGTGAAACCCCAGTAAACGCATAACGTTATTATAACGTTACAGAAATGTTTATATAACAAAGTAACGTTATGGTAACGCTGTAATACGTTCTGTGTTTGGTGGGACGGCTTTCAAACTTATGCAGACATGTTTTAATGCAGGAATCGTAACATACCTTTTCTTTTGTTTTTATTGCATTGTTGATTTAAATATGTATTGCATGAGATTTGAAAACTTGGGATAGATTTCTTGAAATTCAAAAACATTAAGTCATATCCGTATTTTTCTCTTTTGTTGTGTATAATCAAAGGCACCTTACTATAATTGTTTTAGTCCTGAAAAATATCGTCAGTAAAAGAAACATAGTTTTACTAATTATAAGGTTACTTTCATTTACCACTTTAATTTTGCACTTTGAAAAATATACTCCATAATTAATGGTAATGGAAGTGGAAAAGTTTCCTTGAATAGGTATTGTCTTTTACATTGCCTACCCTTCAATTCACAATTAATGATTACTAAGCCATCAGATGTGTAGAAACTAACGTTTTATTTACTAACCTGGGTGCAACATGGAATGTTTGGCAGCACGCCTTTATACAGGAACAAATGACAGCTTCATAGGCTCTAGCTGTAAACTCAAGGTGTTTAAAACCGTCACCCGCCTTAATCATTAACACAAGGTTTGAGTTTCTAATGACAATTTATGCAATAAAAAATACATCAAATCAATACTTTACTTAGAACATCAGTTAAACGTTTGGAAGGTCAGTTTTCCATCCTTTTTGTTTTGTTTTGTTTTCTAATTTGATCCAATTCTTGATAAACTTCAATTTAAGAATACTAAATTCACTACACCTCTTGCAAAATGGCATTTATTCATGTGAAGATTTGAAACATTTCAAGCTGATATGGGCTTAGGCACGGTAAGCTTGCCGCAGACCAGCATACGCTTTATTCTGTCATGGCCATGTTGCACCCGCCAAGTCCACTTTTCAAAAAGGACCTTCTACAACATTTTCGCTGTAGGGTTCCGAAAACTATTTCCAGGTGGAGGTGAACTATTTCCCCTTCGACGACCAGCTTTGCGTCATCCAGTTTGGCTCCTGGATCTACAGCGCGAAGGTGATCTCGTTCGACATCCCGGAGGACAGTTCGGGGACCGACCTAAGCACCTACGAGGACGATAGCGAGTTCATACTAAAATCAGTAAAGGTGAAACACTCCCAGAGCTCTGGCAACGGAGGCAGGCCCGAGGTGCACCCCGATCTGGTTTACATCCTGCACATCCAGCGGCGGTTCTTCTACTACATCTTCAATATCGTCATCCCGTGCGTCATGTTGTCGTCACTGACGTTGTTCACATTTTGGTTGCCGGCGGCGTCAGGAGAAAAGGTGGCGCTGGGGTTGTCGGTGTTTGTGGCCTTCTCCATGTTCATGCTGCGTATAGCGGAGAACGTACCGGCAACGTCACACTCTGTACCATTGATAAGTAAGCTGAGTCATGAGTTATGTTGCTTTAATAATTTTCATGTGTACGTCTTCGTGTTTGTTTGGGCAAAATACTGATTTTTTAATTATCTGAGCATTTTGATATCAAAGAAGATATTTAATGTTTAAAAAATATTGGTTAAATATTGGTTTAAAAAATATTGGTTAAATGTACAGCTATGCAACTTGGTTATTGTTAATACACGGAGAGAAGAGTGACACCATGATGTATAAGCTTTAATGATGATAGATATCATCAAACACAGTAGTCAAGTATATATATATTTTAATATAATTAAAATAATAGTCGTGTTGCCTTGGAACTGTTCAAATTTTATTCACATTCGTTGCATTTGTGTCGTTTTCTAGGCGTCTACTTAACAACTGTGATGACCATGACATCAGTATCGGTGATCTTGGGGGTATTAATGATTAATTTGTTTCAAAGAGGAGTCAAAGTCCGGACTGCGCCCAAATGGGTAAAAACTCTCGCACTTACTTATCTTGCGAAATTGCTCCGCATGGAAGGGGACATCCGGGACTTTCGCAGAAAGAACTTAATGAGACTCGTAAGTATACAGATTTTTCTCTAAAAGATGACACATTTTGCACGTATCAGAATTGTATGAAATTGTGAAAAAGACACTTTTTTCGTGTGACTTGAATAAAATGTGTACTTTTGAAAACTGTTTGATTATAAACCGTTAAAGCCATATGATTAATTAAAAACCAAAAAGAGAAAGTTTACAGCTCTGTAGTTCAGAGGCCCCTATAGTGGATTGATTANTACTTTTTTCGTGTGACTTGAATAAAATGTGTACTTTTGAAAACTGTTTGATTATAAACCGTTAAAGCCATATGATTAATTAAAAACCAAAAAGAGAAAGTTTACAGCTCTGTAGTTCAGAGGCCCCTATAGTGGATTGATTACTATGCGCCTGTAAAGACGGGTGGAGTGGTCGGAGCTCCTCTTTTGCATTCATTCTCGCCTCTGCAGTCTCGAAACTCAAACTGACTCTTGGCCACTTGAAAGACAAGACGCATTTGATTTTTTTTCATTGTATTACATCCCGATGCGTAACGTGCGAATGCAGCAATGCAGTAACGAATATATTTCATTAAAGAGATCAACACTTTGTTTTTTTTTTTTTTTTCAGATACAGTTATGTAAACTGCGTTCACACAATCCTGGGCGAGTTATGAGCATTAAAACCCCCTCTAGGCGTTCTTCGATGCGTTCGTCCGGCAACAGTTTTAAGACGACCAGTTGCAACAGTCTACACACCATTCCAAATTCTGATGCGCATGCGTGCTCCACCAGCCAATCAGAGGAGCAGCATATCGGAGGATCAGGAGCTCAAAAGACATTAGACAGGCGATATAGCAAGAAAGATGCTCAGTCACCAAATTCAGATTCAGAAGAGGACGAATCTGGGGAGGCTGTTTGGATTTTACGCTCAGAACTAGAGGAATATGAAAAGAAACTGGAGGAGAAACGCGTAAGAAGACAAATGAGGAAACAGCGTCGATTGAGACAGCAGCAACAGCCAAATCAACGATCGTCCATGTATTTGAAACCATCGAGCGCTTTGAGTGACATAAACGATAATACAGGCTCCGTTGAGGAGCCGCCTTCAGAAGAACACATCGTCGAAAATATCATCTCTTCTTCTGAGATGCGGTTTATGTACAAAAAGGCGTTCGGTCGACTGATGCGAAAAGAAATAGTCGTCGAGTGGCAGTGCATATCCATAGTGTTGGACCGCTTCATGTTTTGGGTTTATTTGGTTGCCACCATAGCTACATATATCGTCATATTTGTGGTGGTAGTTTACACAAAACCAAACTTACAAGAAAAGATTTCGCAAATACACGAATATCCGAGTTCGAGGTACAGAGATTTTATGGATGGTTGATAAAACTTTAATGCGGCATTAAATTTCAGTAAAAACCTTCAACAAAGTTTATTTCCATAAATGGCACTTACTGCTACTTCTTCCAAAAATAACAGACCTATAGTTATACATGTAGATCTATCGGTACATGTACGTATTCATAGATATGAATGTGACATTCCTAAGAAATTAAAGATAATTGAGTTGAAAAATACACAAGGCTAAAAAGAAGTTGCATATGAATAAAGATTTTGATGCAAGTAAAGAATACGCACCTTCATGTCTTCCTATGTACATAATTATCCTTTGTTCAACGTAAATAAAAAACAATAAAACTTCGAGTTTCTTTAGGTTTCTTTAAACTACACGCATACTACTACTAGTACCATAGACCCGTCTTGACAAACACAGCACGGGAGCAGACTACTCTCTCTCAGAGGCCCTTCCAGCTGTTACAAAATTTGTAGGACTTTGGTCTACCTCGTAACGGCTATGGCAGGGCCTCTCACACAGGTGGGGAGCTGGCCGGAATATCCCTTTTAGATAAAAGCGTGTCTCCATTTCAGACGAGTCGAGCCATCTCAGACTATCTACTTACAATTACTTCGTTACCTAAAGCAAGTCATAAGGGACGCAAATATCACCTTAACTACGTTTGGGATTAGATCTGATATGTATGATGAGCAAATCACAATACATGCGCTTAGCTAAATTATGTGTCAATATAACATTGTGCATTTAACATAGAAAATTTAGATACGGGAAGCACTTCTTATTAAACTGATCGTCTGAAGAGTGACTAGAACTTTTAGTTTAAAACTGTGCTCAACTGAACGGACTACTAAAGAAATGGATTCAGTCTGGGAGTTGGCCCTATGTACAAAGAGGTCGGCTATCTCAACAAACGCAATTCAACAAATAGTGTACTGGTATGTGTCTCATGTAATCAAGAATACGTCATGATGAGTGAATACTTATTCATTTCTCTAATTAAATTTGTTGCAAAGAATTATGATATTTTGCAATACATGATAAAACTACAAACATGCATGCGCGCGCACATACATATGCACAATGAACATGAGCATTTCACAATTTATGACTTAGCAATAGACTAATGTTTAAAATTCATTTAAAAATAGCACAACCCTTACCAGCATTATACGACATTGCATAAATATTAGGTTATTTTTCAGATGTACATTATGTTAAATGAGGGATAGGATGTATACATATTTTAATAAAAGTAGACTCTATGACTCTTAAGGGACACTTGTTCATTCCTAAAGGTGCGTGTACAAACCAGATTTATAGCTGTAAAATGTGTTGATCTCTTATATATCGTATGAAAGACAGATGAATATTGACGTGAAAATAACAGCATTCATAACATGAATTACAATAATAAAACATGCACAGGGTTGGAAAAACTGCCGTAAGGGGGCAGCACGCACCTGTGGTATGAGGTCATAGCTTTATCTTTTGAGAAGGGTCGATGCATACAAATCATATGAAGACAAATAACGTCATTTCTGCTAAATTTAACTTTCACTATTAATAGCTCTGCTAATTCTTGTATTTAATTTCATACTTAAAAAATTGGTGTATTTTATAGTCTCCAAAGGGAACGTGGAAATGTGTAACAAAGGGTATAGAAAAATAATACTACTCTTCAATGAAAGAACAGTAATTCGTATACAGACTCCTGAGGAGAAAAACAATGACCCGAAAATCAATAACTAAAACAGTAACGCTTGTGTTCTGGCAATCCCCACACTGGCACGCGCACAAGTTCAGGTGACGCAGGTGTGTCGACAACACGGCACTTTATCATCATCGCCATACCTGTCAGGACGGAGAGCTCGGTGTGTGCGTTCACCCATGGTACCATACGGACAATACGCAAATAGAGGAGGAGGGGGAATTTACAATAATGTCGTTGTATTGGTAAATAACACACGGTATTATATAACGTATTAGAATACATTAATTCTGTGATTTCGATAACCGCATACTTTTCAAAAGCAAAGAAAACACTACAAATAAAAAGCCGACACTAGGGTGTTTATTGTCTGCTTTCCAAGTTTATGTCGGTCATCAATTTTAGGAGCTAAAAAAGTTAATCCAGTTGGAGTTTTCCGGGTCGTTTATGTATGTACCCTTTTTTTAATCATGGCTTTTAAATGATACTACGTTTATCAACCCCAGTGAATATAGCTTTATATTTCCACCGCTTTATATTTTTACCGCTGCTCCATCTATCACCATTTTATTACTGCGTATCTGAATTGGCTTTATGTGCCTACGATCAAGAAAAAACGGTGCATTAAAAACGTGGCATTAGAAGGTCGCATCGTATAATGGACACAGGGCAGGCCCGTAGCCAGCAATTTCAAAAGGGGGGTTCTTTTTCTGAAAAAGTGGACCTTTTTCCATAAAAATTTCATGTACCTAGGTCATATTTTACCCTGAGTGGACCTTTTTCCCAGCAAAAGGGGCGGTTCTTTCGAACCCCCCGAACCCCCCTGGCTACGGGCCTGCAGGGTACATGTATTTAGTGTATACGTGTCTGCATATGTATGTGCGTGTATGACAGTGTGTACACTACAGGATGCATTGTTTCAATGACCCTCCAAACACAATATCGCCTGTTAAAGCGTGGATGCATTACAATACCAATTCTGACAGCGCTGGTCCCCCACTCCATGTGAAGATCTATACAGCTATAGCGTGCTCTTATTAATATCTTCTTCCATATAATCATATATAAATGTAAAACACAGTATCCATTATGTTTGGAGGTTATTACAGATTCGCCTGGCTTGGGTATCCTGTAATAATAGTCTTACTTGATTGCAGCATTCAGCATACAATGTGTAATTCATATTACGGATAAAGAAATATTTTGTTTTCTAGAGTTTACAAATGGCAGGTCATAAATGTAAAGGTTAGCATGACCACGTAATAAAACGGACAGAGGGGCCTTGATTCTAATTGCACTTTACAGCGTTACTTCAGCTTCTTAGGCCTACCCTCTAGGTGTTACATTTAAGGTTGTTAAAAGTTGTTTAAAAGGTGTTCCAGTCCCCAAGGCCAAATACCTGAATATTTAGCATCCATATGGTTCATCTTCATTTATTACCACGTTTATGGGGACACTTGCTTGACTTATACCAGCCCCTTTCACGGATAAGGTGTTCTTCTTTTCACATAATTAATATACTTGGTTATCACTGAGGTTAGGTTAGTCAGAGGATTGGTCTAGCAAATGGCTTAGTAACTTCTTAATGTGGGATCCAGACGTGAGAGTGTTTTGATAGAAAAAAATCCATTAATATCTTAATTAAGATGGGTTTTGAAACTAGGGGCATCACTTGGAATTAAATCTGTTAAATACCCCACTCCTCTCTGTGGTCATCAATGTTTTTGTGTCTATAGTAACACGCGGCACCATCTCCTTTTATCTAAAGGGCATTAAAAAACACTACTCTCAAATAATTTAAATGTAAATTTTAATTGGATTCTACATTTTAATGTGATGTGTTCTATTTGCTCCTTAAAGATTTGTCTTAATATAATATTTTCATTTAAAGTTATCTAAATTAATTATGTGATACAATCCGGGCGAGGCGTCTGGTACGTCATAACTAAACCCCACACTTAATTCGTTTTACCTTGACAAAAGTAAATTTTTAATTTGAAAAAAAAAATAAAGAAATAAATAAAGAAAGAAAGAAAGAAATAGATAAATAAATAAAATAAATAAATAAATAAATAAATAAATAAATAAATAAATACTTGAAGGGTCACTAAATTATCTAAATATGATGAGCCCATGTTGAGTAGTTATTAATCATGAGAATTAACTACAGGTATATGTAGCTGACCGCCAGCGCTGATCCGCGATAACAATCATACTTGATATAATGAGAAATAACCCTTAAGGAACAAAACATATGTGTTCAACCATACACTGTCGTGACTCTCATAAGACTACATCAGGTCGTATCTTAAGTCTCCCCTACCTGTGGTCGGTGAGCTGGGATGGGACGTTTAGAAGAGATTTATTCATCTTAGACAGTCATTAGTTTTCATGGCCTTTCGTAAAGTGTTGGTATCAGCCATTTAATCGCCGTCTATCTGAGGTCTCATCTCATGATGCATGCAGAGGACGACCCACTAGCCTAGGACAGGTTTTCAGACAGGTATCCGTGTACGACGTCACTTTTATGAGGCCGAGGCAAAAAAAACGACATAAAATCTGTTTGAATTTTACGGTGTTTAGTTTCTATTCTCCAAGTTCGAAGTCAGCTATTGCAATTCTGACGGTAGATCGGTGGAATTATTCGAAAGGAATACAGGAATGCAATGCCAGTGACCAATGATATGACCATTAAATCTTTCGCGTCTGTCCGTGAAACAAAACTTTTGGCACGCGATATTCATTAGTAATTGTGATGCGTGCAGTTCATATCAGTTAGTCGCGGATCACAACACGGGGTCTGTACCACGTCGTTGGTGGCGGTGGTTCAGTTGTTTAAGTCTGCTGCTGGCGATTTCACATCTTAACACCAATGGGCGACCAGAATAACGCGTCTCTGTAGGCTCAGCTAGCCGAGGGAGAACACAGACACTAACCCCTGAAGTTTTGGTGGAAATAGCGTGACACATGCAGTGACTGTTGAGATATGTACTGATGTCAATCTTTTACGCTCAATAATATTAGTCAGCGCACACTCCTTGCTTCCGAAATCAACGAAATGAGTTCGAAATCAACACCATCTTCCTCAGACGACGAAAGCAAGAAGAAGGTGCCGGACATGGGGGAGACGAACACAAACGCGGAAGAAATGTCTCCTTCTGAAGGTACAATGGATTCTCAGGGAGAAAATAAGCCAAATATTTCTGCACCTACCGACGAACAGAACACCGAGGTGTCCACTGAATCGACACCCGGGCCAGACAGTACAATGGAAGAGACAAACGACGATAATAGCTCACGGTCATCGTCGCCGGATCATGAGA